CATTTAATACTCCAATGGCCATTGGAAGTAATGCCCGCCTGCCAACGTCAAGGCAGACCCCCTTAGGCGGGTCCTACACTGACCTTTCACCTTGCTTCCTTGAGCTTCTGGCAAAGATATCTCTAATGAATACATATGGATTCAGGAGAGAGCACAGGTAACTTTGGAGTTACGGGAGTGATGGGAGTGAGCGCAGGACTTATCTTTTTGTATTTGTATTTACTTTGTATCACACAGCCTTGTTACAATGCTGCCGCCCATCCCATGTGTTCCCTATTAAGGGTTCATAAGTATATAGGGGTGTATATAAAAAATACCCCTCTCTGTCTCATTAGAGATATTTTTGCCAGAAGCAGAGTACCTCAAGTACAATATCTCTGGGTAACCTAGATGTGAGCTCCCAACATATCTCAAAAGCATTCAGAATGCACAAAAGTAGCCGAATCAAGCTGTTGGGGTACTGGCGGTTCACCTCGTCCTACCTGCTCCTAATGGAGCTATAATCACTGCTTTCCCCTCCTGGGAGTTGCAAGGCCAGGCTTGTAGCTGCCCAAGGAGCACTCTCCCTGGGGCTGTCTAAGTGGAGGCAGCCACCGGAGAGAGGTGCGAACCCCACCGGAGACCCTGGGGCTGTGAATTGGCTTCACAGCCGCAGAGCCACCTGGAAATCTGTGCTGACCAATCAGGAGAAGGAGCTCCCATTCAAACTGGGTTTGCACCATTCTTCTGATGGGTTGGCACGTGTGAGCGCTGATTGGTCACTGCAAGGCACAGGCGACCAATCAGAGAAGGATCACCCATTCAAACAGGGTTTTGCGACCTTTCTCCTGATTGGGCAATGAAACCCTTCTCCTCCCTGAGCGCTGATTGGCGCAAATTGGTTTCACGCCTTTCAGTTACTGGGGGGAAGAAAGAGTTAATCCCTGTGCCAGCTTGTTGCAGCTGGTGGAGAATGCATTGGGGAAAGTCCTTATAAGGACTAAAGCTCATGGGTCTGTGTGCTGTCCAGCCCCTGGGAGTAAACAGAGCTAGTTTCCCTATCCAGCCACAGCTAGGAAGCGGACCTTTGGCAGAGGTACCCAGCTAGGTTACAGGGAGCTCTGTCACAGTTTTCTTTCCAGGAAACATTAGACATCAAACTGCCTGTTTCTGCTGATTACAAATCCCTTGCCTATATGATGTTGATGAAGTGACATTTCAGCTGTAATAATAGACTGTCATGCATCCAGCACCTGCTGCATTAGGATATCTGTGGCATCTGTGTAGGGAACACCGATATACCCATCAGGAGGAGTAAAGATAGGATTCACTGACCCAGGTATTCATACTGATCATCCTGCTGCTTTCAGAACTTGCTGCATTGAGCATCTTTACAGCTGTGACTAGGATACTAACACCCAGGAGAAAAGAAGAAAGGATGTCATCTCTACAGTTTCCAAAAGTCATAAATATATATTGCCTCCTTATCACAGATGTCAACAACAAAAAAATCCCACCATCACGACATGATAACCGTTAAAGTGGGCCTCTGTGGCCATTAAATACCTAGGAGTTTTGCTGCCTAAAACTCTGTCAAAATAGTTTGAGCTCAAGTTTCCGCCACTTCTACAGGAGGTGACCCGAGATCCAAAGCAATGGCACAAGTCACATTTTGGCTGGCTATGCAAGTAAATATCTTTAAAAAATTAACGTTCTTTCACGCTTCCTCTACCCAATACAGGTCCTTCCGATCAACCTCCCTAAATCATTCTTTACAGAGGCTAGAAAACTTAGAAAAAAAAGTGCATCTATTCCTTGCTGTCAATGTTATTTTTTACACGACCTATTGCTTGAACTAATTACATGTTTTCTGCTGTTCATGCCTTTTATACTTGCACTGCAAAAATAAAGAATTGTAAAAAAAAATCAACAATTATACAATGCACTAATATGGTAGTTGGGTACACATGAGATACCTGGGGATGGAAAGTTTTGGGGATTTGAGAACTGTTTTATTATATTTTCCATTGTTACAAATATGTTTTGTGAACTCCTAAAGTTAAATACACTTGAAGGACTAGGCAATTCTAATAGTGGGATCTGTATCACCAGTCAAATAATTAGAAGTTGTTACTGAAAAAGTACTATCAAAATGCATACATGTGAGAATTGCTTGTACCTTTTTGACATGCTCATGTGTTTGGTTGTACAGCTACTTTCTAACATTTTTAAAGGCCCTACTGGTTTAAATTGAAATAATTTAAAAATTTATGTATGCTGCTTTTATGGCCATTACATTGACTGGCCTGGACTGCATGTGGCTGAAGAGGATGAATTCAAGAAGTCCCAGTACAGAGATTTGAGGAACTCCAACCAAGTGGGATACAGAAGAAGTGGAGGAAATTGAGAAAGAGACACTAAAGGAGTGTTCAGAGATATAGGAAGAGAACCAGGAAAGAGTGACGTCACTGAGGCCAAGGTTGAGGATGACAAGTGGATGGTCAAAGGTGTCAAAATGGGCGGAAAGATTCTGAAGAATAAGTAGCAAATAACAGCCTTTATACATAGCTGTCACTAAGTCATTAGTCACCTTGGTCAGGGCAATCTCTAAGGAATGTTGGGAGCCCAAGCCAGACTGTAGAGGGTCTAGTAAAGAACTACAGTTCAGATATTCCATGAGTAAAGAATAAACAAGTCTTTCAAGGAGCTTGGAGGCCAAACGAATGAGAGAGATAGGGTCAAGAGAAGGCTTTTTTTTTTAGTATAGGTATGATCCATTTGAAGGATGAGTCGAAAACACAAGAGGCACAAGAGAGAGTGGCGTTTTTAGTCAAAGATGGGACAGTTGCAGATGAAAGAAATTGAGTAAGGTTAGTGGGCATGGGATCAAGGAGGTAAGTGCAGAAACCTCCTCTTTAGAAACAAGAGCAAATACACTAAGTGTGGGGGTGTTGGGGAGGACCAGAAAAAAGGCCCCATTGGCCTGGAGCTGAAAGTTTTGATTGACCAAATTACATGAGTATATTAAAGGAACACTCAAAAGCTTTATAACTATTATAAATTTCTATGATGGTTATAGTGCAAGTAGTGCCCTAGCACCTCCAAGTGTAAGCAGTCAACCTGCTTTAGAATTATTTGATTTCTTATGTTGGGTCAACAACTGCCAAACCCCAACTCCACTACCTCAGAATCTGCAAGAATCTGTTGCAGGGTTGGCTCATTTCCTGAGAGTATCAGCTGGAACTTCAGTGGTTATGGTGCTTGGAGTGTTCCTTTAACTGGAGGATGCAGACATATTTAAAATTATGAATAATTAAGAGTGTTCTGATAAGAGTACAACAATAATTACTTTAAATCACCCTTGTATAAATCATTTTAATATACACCCCCAGACTGTGCTTACAGAAAAATTTAGTGTGTATAAGCTTACTCACACAATTATATTCTGGCTCACATGTTTTGTCTCAACCAGGTTCCCCCAAACGAACAAGCTGCTCATACATATAGTATAACATAATTAAGGTAAATAATACACTCACATGGATTCGAGCCTAAAACAACGACTCATGAAAAATCACCTTGCGGCGGATGCCAGTCTGCCTTTCATAGAACTCCCAGTCAGTGTGGTGTTCAGACAGATGCTAGCCATTGCACTAAGGAGCCCATTTATAGCTCCACCTCCACCTCCGCTAATGAAAATGTTAATGTGACTGTGTGTGTTTTAGATTTTTGTAATTTCAGTGCTTTTCATAAGCCCTACATTCACTGGATATGCCTCTGAATTCTCCTAATTAATTATATAAAGCATGTTGCGATTGCACCAAAAAAATAAATTAAAAGGTAAAAATAAGTCTTACAAACTTTACTATTTAAGGACACCAATAAAAAATAGTATTAGTCTAGTTTAAACAATTCATGTTTAAGCTTTAACATCATGAAAACAAATATTATTTGTGCAGTTCATACCATTAGTGGCTAATCTTTAATATTATATTATAGTTTACATTACAGAATGGGTCATTATTAAATAACTGTTTATTAAGCCTGTGAGTTTCTGTTTTGATTGGCAATGTCAGTAGGTAATTTTTATAGTTCCCAATAGTCCTGTCAGTTGTGATTTTTAAGGAACAGAAAACCACTTCTTGAAAAGCAGCAATACACAGCAACTCTTCAATGCATATACCTTGACTAAAAATTCAATAAGGTTCGTAATCCCTAGTGATAGATTCTAAGTATTCTGGTGATGGTTAGGAATCTAACATAATAAACAAAAGAAAATATACTATACTACTATTGGATTCATATTATTAAGAAACTACAATGTTAAAACACAAGGCAGTTTTGTGTGATCTTAATACACTTATACAAAATAATAATTAATATAAAAATGAACAAATGTAGAGTGAAACTGTAATCAATAAATGTTTGTAGCACTCAATACAAGCGTACAAAAAAAAAAAGAGGGCACAGCAGCAGGCATCAATAGGATACAACTATCAATAAACCAAACATCCCAAAAAAAACAAGAGAGCTGGGTTGTGGCACACTCACAACACAAATTCACATAAATAAAAATATGGTGCACAAATACTCATAAGCAGTACAGTCCTCTCAGGGCAGCTTGTATTTACCATTTACCAACATTTTTAGAGTAGTATATATCAAGTATGTTTATTTGAAACCCAGCCCCCTCATGTTTATGTAGAAGAGGTGTCCTAGATAAAGACTGATTGACAAAGCCTCATAGTGAGGCAAAACCTTTTTGGTTTGTGTATTTAAATAAATGAAAGGTCTGCTAAAATGTCACCCACTGTCCCACAAGTGAAATTATATCTTCATGAAGATTCAGCTACCAATATGGAAGTTCAACTAAGTGAAGTGAAGGGGAAGCATGCCTTTGACTAGGTGTTACTAGTAGTGATGTCCCGAACTGTTCGCCGAACGGTTCGCGAACGGTTCGCCACGAACGGTTCACTGTGGACTCATCATTGAGTAAACTTTGACCCTGTACCTCACAGTCAGCAGACACATTCCAGCCAATCAGCAGCAGACCCTCCCTCCCAGACCCTCCCACCTCCTGGACAGCATCCATTTTACATTCAATGTGAAGCTGCATTCTTAGTGAGCTGTCCAGGAGGTGGGAGGGTCTGGGAGGGAGGGTCTGCTGCTGATTGGCTGGAATGTGTCTGCTGACTGTGAGGTACAGGGTCAAAGTTTACTCAATGATGAGTTTGTGGCGAACCGTTCGTGGCGAACCATGGCGAACCGTTCGGCGAACAGTTCGGGACATCACTAGTTACTAGTAATATGATTGTCATATATTAAATGCGAGAGTACGTTTTGGATATTACTAATACATTTAGATTTCTTATTGAAATTGTGGGGCCTTGTGAAAGGAGTCATCATCTGGCTGCTAGAGCAGTTGAAAGGACTATATTGATGAGTGGAGATTTTTTAGAAATCCTCTTTTGTATAAACATGAGGGAGCCAGGTTTCAAATAAATACTACTCTAAAAATGTTGGTGAACGAGACATACAAGCTGCTCGATACAAGCTGCCCTAACAGTTTGAAGATTGTTCTGTTTATGAGTATTTGTGCATCTTATACGGTTTTTTTATGTGTGAATTTGTGACATGAGTGTAATGTAAAATATATGTTTTATAATTATAGTTTTAAAAATTCACCATATTCAGCTTTTCACAAGCTGTTGCTTAGACAAAGTGAGACACAAAATCTGAATTAAAGCAAAAGGGTAAATTAGGCACTGCATTATGTTAATCATATGTTATTGATGATTGGAAAACGTGAAAAGAAAAATAATCCTGGTTTAATGAATACTGGGTTGCATGAATAAAAAATAATCGATAGGAAAATGATCTAACTTAGTCAATAGTAGCCTCAATCCATTTTGGTAAGAGCTCTCTCCCAGGAAGGGCAACATTGTTGCACTCTGCCTGTAAAAATGATTAATGTTTGAGGTGGAGATGGTTATTGTAGAACAATGAATGATTTGTTGTTTTTTTAATCCTTGCCTTAAATGGCTGTTCCTTACCCATATGTCAATAAAAACTGTATATTTTTAGAAGTATTTATCAATGAGTCCACGCAGGATTTTTTTCTGTGACAAAACATACATTTTACATTTTCTTTTTGTGTAAATTATGAAGAAGAAGAAAAATGATCTTTTTAGTGAGCAATCTTGAGAGTGTTTGTGTTTGATGCAGCTGCACTGTGTATGTTTGGACTTGATGCAACTCTGTACATCTGGACAATCTAAACAATGCATTGAGAGACTACTAATGCATTAAAGTTACATGGATGAATGGGTACACACTCTGACAAATTTGCCAAAGCGCCTTGTTTTGTCATATAATTCCTGGCTACACTAAATGTACAATTTAATTTTTTTGTTTGTTTGTTGAAACGATCCAATTCTTGATACCACTCAAGTGCAGGAGCTCCCGGATCAAATATTATTTAATACAGAAAATAAAAAACGAGCGATACCCAGTTTCCTTGTCCATAGGGTGTAAACTCCCATTGTGACTTCGCCACAGATGCCCATGGCAACATATAGCAACACTACCCAACAGCACGGCCTGTCAATTGATAGATACTATTATTAGAAATAAAATAATTTCCACCTTACTAAAACTTTAAAGGTATGCCTTTTTTTGTTTGTAAGTTTTTATTCAGTTTTTATGGAGTTAGAAAGAATCGCATCAGTTGGTTAATCTGGATCGACAAATACACATTTAGTAGGTTTCAATGTATATGCAATCACTCCAGTGCAAGGTTGTTTGCATAGTTATATAGTGGGAAGTGGGATTTATTGCATTGTCCACTGGAGTCGTATAATTATTTAGCAGTGTTCAGTAAATGAGGAAAGAGAGAAAATTTATATTTAGTGGTGGAAGTGGAATAGGAAAGACTCTGGGGTAAACAGTAACTTATTGCCTATTATAGAGGTAATAAGTGATGACATTTTAGACCAGAAACCTCTAATTTTGTAACATGCATGTGCTGCAGTACCAATGCCTCCACGACACCTGCAATGTCAGAATTGTCACATGAAAGGCAGTGCAGATTGTGTGGGGTGTAGTGCCATCTACTCATAAGGTTTACAGTTAAGCAATTGCATGTTAGCCTTGGCAGAGGATGCAAACGTCATGGACAACTTTTCTTTCCATGTTGCCACTGAGTAGGACATGTTAAATGCACCTGACTTGGCCATTACAAACAGGGGTAGCCTCTAAATGGAAACCTCTTGTAACACTTCATAAAACTATGAAATTTGCTTGGTCAAGAACATAGGTAAGGCACACATCTCTTCAAACTTTTTTTCGATTCACAGTGGAAGGCATAGATGCCATAATAGGCTTGAGGAAATAGATTGGTAGTATTAAAAGCATTCCAAAGGGGTTGGAGTTTATGTCCCTATTAAGTCCATCAGTGAGATTATCCCACAGTCTCTCACCACATCTCCCAATTTTAAGTACCTGTCTGAATGTGGGGGCTGGCTGGAAACTGTGTGTTGTGCAATGTGGGATTGGATGATCAGTCACTGTTTAGGTTTGTTGGACCTGGACCAGTGCTACAGTCTAGTTAGCATGCTTGCTACATACTAGTGGTAAATGTCAGGGAGGTTGAGACCCCCATTATGTCTAGAGTGTGTAAGAAGATTGTACCAAAGTTAGGGATGTTTACCAGCCCATTTTTGTGGTTGTTACATGCATCGAGCTTGAAAAGAGGTTTTTAAATGTGGATATGGCTTAATTAATTGAAGTAAGGAAGGTTCCATCTATGCAGGTCTTGTTGAATAGAGGCTACTGTGATGGGTGAACATTGAAGGTAGGGATGGGGCTTCTCTGATCCCTAAGTATTTCACAGATTTCTCCAGCCACTTGAAAGGATTGAATGACTTAAGAGTATCCAAGTTTGTATAAGTTAAGGATCTCACTTTTAGTCTGAGAAGGTGCTATAGGATTGGATTTCCTGGAGTAACTCCAGGAGCAAAGTCAGGAGAGAGGATAGAGTAAATAAGAGGTTGGCGGCAAACACCAAGACCTTGTATCCGAGTCTCTTATAGGTAGTCTTATAGATAGTCCTCTTATCTTGGTATTATATCTAATGGCCTGGAGGAAAGGTTCCATGCTGAGGATGAACAAGAAGGGTGAGAACGGGCATACCTGGCATGTTCCATTGTCTGTAGTAAAAGATGCTGATGCTTGTCCATTTATGAGCAATCGAGACTGAGTGACTGGAATGAAGGGATTGTATCCAGTTTAGCCAGGGAATTTTGAATCCCAAATGCTCCAGTGTGTGAAATTGGAAGGAGTAGTTCAAAATGTCAAAAGTACTTTCTGTGTCTATACCCAGTATGAGTGAGGCCAAGATCTTGATCAACGTTGATCAAAATATTGGTCTAAAGCTCCTTCAAAGAAAAGTGTCCTTACCCAGCTTTGGGAGCAATGTTATAGTTGCTTCTGATGAGCACAAGGGCAGGTGAAAGGTAATTAAATGCTTCTAGAAAAATGTACCCCAACTCCCGTATGAATAATAATATTTTATAGTGTTTGGGTGAGTATCCATTAGAGCCTGGACTTTTACACAGTGTAGGCTTTACAGCAGCCCAAAATTTGTCTAGAGAGATTGATTCCTCCAATCTATCCCTATTAAATGTATGACTCACTGTAACACATTGTATAAATGTATAAGTCATAGCTAAGATAATCCAGGGCATGGCACACCAGTCTGGCTTTTACCAGGGTTGTTTTTAGAGCAGGCAAATCTGTTATTCACTGGCTTAGTGTAATGACCAAGTAATATTGAGAATAAAAAGCTAGCAATACGATGTTGCTCGCTAGTTTATTCACAGTTCTATATTGGCTTTTCAATCTTTATCAAGGAGACAAAATGGAATTATTTCATATACATTTCTTTTAAGCAGACATTGACCACCACAATGGGAATCTTGACTCAGACTGCCTAGGACCAGTGTTGGAGGAGGACTGTATGTGACTAGAATGGAACTTAGAACAAGTCAGGACTGGTGAGGGACCAGAATTGGATTGTCTAGTATTGTATTTAAACTAACATGTTCATTCATATTTTCCATCTCAGTGCTTGGAAGATGTGTATCTATGTTGCCTGGCACTCAGGGCAACAATGTAAATTTGCACCCCCTCTGAACTGTAGATTTTATTTTTGTTGTCTCTCTACAATGCCTAATGCACCCTTTTGTTAGGGGAATTACAAACACACACATTCAAATTCAAATACACTCACATGCATAAACAAAACTATATACATATACACACACACTCACATTCATACTGTCAGGGGAGGCGGGCCGGTGACCGGGACCCAGTATGCCTGATCTTAATAGTAGGAGTCACAGTGTGGAAATTGATTATCAGGGCCTGGTGCAGGGTAACCACACGCCCCCTGGTGTTGAGCACCAGTGTTTGTGCGGACACATACCAGGGTCTTGATGCAACTTCTGCAGATCCAAGGTGCCAGATGACAATATGCAGACCTCCCAGGATCTGAATAGGGAGGCTCTGCCACAGATATGTATCCAGTACAGAAACAAAAAAGTGGCAAAAAAGTATGAAGTGAGAATATAGACTGATTCCAGCAGTACCCCTGCTGCTCTGTGCACCTCCTCCCACCTGTCACCCCAAAGCGGACTGCCCCACCCCACCCTTGGATAAGTGAAGGTGAAGTAAAGTGAAGGAGTAAAAATGTAAACAATGTTTCTGTTTCTTCTCATGTAATACAATGCGTGCCTCAACTGTGCCAGGACTGAACTGGATTATGATATTAGTCTCTACAATTTTGATAAACATAAAAAGGACAATGGAGCAAAAACAAAGGTTAATAGAAGATATAGGTGAGTTTTAATGTTATATTCAATGGTGGAATTTCCAGGCAAGACATTGTTCCTATTCATTGTTCTTTTTTTTTTTTCTTGCATATTATATGAATGCATGAAAAATTATTATTCACACACTAGACTTAAATGAAAACAAACACATTTTGTTTTGATTAGATATACCTATTTGCTTATAATTTTAGTGTTAACCATATCTCCCTTAAGCCTGCTCTTTCAGATTTACAGATTGTATCAAACAGTCAATAGCAATGGACATATTTTTTTTTTTTGTATCTCATCCAAACCACAATG